AAGGTCACATCCCATACTGTGAGACCTTCATCATCTTCCACCTGCAAAGCAAGTAAGAAAAATTTGACTTGTTTCTCTTACTACAATGAAGATGTTTTAATTGAATGAAAAATACAGATCAGTAGGGCTGGGCGATATGGCCAAAAAAAAATTATCACGCTATTTTTTTTTCATATCAGTCGATATCGATAATTATCACGATAAATGTCAAATCTTTATTTCTTTCAAGCTTAAAGCCAGATTTTTGCTCCAAAATGAAAGTTGTAGAAACCAGACCATTAATTTTCCTTAACAAAATAAATATCTAAATAGAAAAATGTATTTCTTAGTTTCTGCATGTTCTAATGAGTGATATTGTTTCAAATCAAGAAACAGATTTGGGTTGACTGATAATATTAATAATAACATCACTTTTTTGTCTCTTAGAAATGCACATTTGATAGTAGCTTGAGTTAGGATGCAGAGGTAAATATTTGTTCATTATTAAAATCAGTAACAATTGTAGCAACCTCAGTTTTATAAGGTTACATTTATTCTGATTAAGCATTGGTCTCCCATAGTAGCATACATTTAAATCATGATAAACAGTTAAAACCATGGTACAACTATAACTATATGTTTTTTTTAGGTAGCCTATTTGTATGAAAAACAGTAGTCTAAAAACATTCAGTATAAATGCACACATGCTATAGCTTAATCTATACTATACTATAATTACCATAACTCCTGTATAAAAAATTCAGTGTGAATATCCCAAGTTTCTGCCACAATGCCTTGGTGCAGTGAGTGTTACTACAGTAAATCCATGGTAAATGATGGCGATGTGTAGATTGAAAAGCCTTCTGACTGTCTCGTGGCACACAGTGTTTCTCCTGTTTGGCTTTAAACTAGTTTAAATCCATTTTAAAGTAATTTGTGTTCATCGCTGAATTCAAGCAGTGGATCTCACAGCGCTGTTTAGTGCTCGCGTGACCAAGTAAACGCATCTGCTCTAGTGAGCATGCGCAGCGCGGCAGTTTGAACTTTGATCCGAGTGGATAAACGATCTGTGTGGCGCGCTTCAAATGAGTTGCGCTGTTTCGTTCCGCTTTTGGCGCATAAACATTATATCGAACATTTATCGAACTCGTCATATCGTTTTATCGAAGAAAATTGTATCATGATAATTATCGTTATTGAATTATCGCCCAGCCCTAGAGATCAGATATAATATTCACATATAATCAGAATCAGAATCAGAATGGATCTCCTTTTCCAGTGTGTATTTAGCCTGTTTATACAAGACATTGTACATAATACACTGCTGTTCAATGTAGATGATTCAATGTAAATGCAGCCTTGGTGATCATAAGAGACGTCTTTCAAAAACATTTTAAAAAATCTTACAGACCCCAACTTTTTAACATTAACGTATATTCAATATATAAAATTTAGTTTGTGGATTTGTAAAGGCATGAATGTTAGTACATGATGGAATTTACATTTTTAGATAAATTCTTCCATTAAACTGAATTTAGTACTTTCATCATTATTTTCTGATGATCAACATAGCAAATTACCTCTGAATCCACGTCCTCCACCTCTGCCTCCTCTGAATCCTCCACGTCCACCAAATCCTCCACCACCACCATTGCCACCACGATCTCCACGGAAGCCACCTGCAAATACATAATTCACTTTGTGGTTTATATCTTCAAAGGTAAACCACAATGTTACAGTTATGTAGATGTTATATTATGAGATGATAATAAAACTGAATCTATCATCATATGTATACTGTTTTCTTGTGTGATCTTACCTCCTCTCCCACCTCTTCCTCCTCCTCTACCTCCACGGGGTGGCCCCTTCTCACCTGGAGGCCTCGGGAGGAATCTCTGGAGGGGCATCAGCTTTATAGGGTCAATGAAGAACTGATGCAAGAGGAGAGAAAGAGAAAAGCTAATTAAATATATTGTCATAATACTGTAAGTTACATCCTAGGGAACTGATAAGAGGCAGAAAAGCCAAAGGAAGCAGCTAAAATTGCTTCTAAAAATCCCTTTGATATTCTGAAGCAGTATCTGCTTGTAAATTACAGATAATTTTAAAAGAACACCCACTGATCATTGTCTAATATTGAAAATAACTCTGATAAGTGGTGGGGTGTTCTTTAAAAAACATGATCGCACAAAATAAGACTTACTTTTGAAAAGTTATTTGGTGTGACATGCTGCATTCCAACATGTTTATATATATACCATTATCCTAGTTGTTTAACAACAACCAAGTGAGTTGTTTTGGTTCTTGTTAGTATGTCATAGGTCAAACGAGTTTGTCCCAGAATGCATTTATGCTATACATATATATATATATACACAGGGGTGCACAAGTTTTTCAGCCTGGTTCTCAAAAGAGCACCTGGACATTTGGTTTGGTCCTCACATTGCACATAGTGTAACTCATTGAATAAAACTATAATATAACTATAAAAAATTATAATAGTGATAATAATATTATTAATATTATTGCACTTTAATTTTTTTTTATAAAATAAAGTGTGATAATACTATTTTAAAATAAAAAGTGAGTATTATTAAATGATTTTTCATCATTTTCAAACTTAAAATCAGCAAGCTTTTATTTTGGCGTGTTGTCGAGAAGTAAGTATATGCGCTGCCGGGTTTAGCACTGCCAATTGAAGAGCGTAAGTCACACAGTTTTGCATTGTGCTTTAAAAACGGCAGCGGATAGCCTAGATCAGGGGTGCCCAAACTCGGTCCTGGAGATTTAAGCAATTTCTGTAAACTATTTATTTAAATATCACAATATTACTGGTTATCTGTGTGCAATTGTACAAAAAAAAGAAAAACTTTATTTTGCAAGATGTCACCAGGGGGCGACAAAATAACAAGTATAAACATGTAGAGGTTGTTGGTGGCTCCAGCCAACCGAGACAAGAGAAAACTGTCGGAATTGTCATAATAACGTTCTAACGGAATTGAAAATGCATGAACATTTTATGCTACTGTGTGTTTATATGATTTACGTGTTGCTCACAAAAACTTCTTTTTTTATGTGGACACAGTTATTGTCATATAGTGAAAGATTTGACTGAGAAGAGAGTTCTGTAGTAGGTATAGTGCAGAGGTGACCAGTCCTGCTCCTGGAGGGCCACTGTCCTGCAGAGTTCAGCTCCAACCCCAATTAAACAGACCTGAACCAGCTAATCAAGCTCTTATAGGCATACTAGAAACTTACCAGCAGGTGTGTTGAGGCAAGTTGGAACTAAACTCTGCAGGACACCGGCCCTCCAGGACCGAGTTTGGGCACCCCTGGCCTAGATTTATGCTCTCAGTTCAAATAGAAATAGTATACAGTATTACAGTTTGTTGATCTAAAATTGTAATTGTGCATTAACAGCTGTCAACCATATCGGTACACAAATGAGCGGTCTGAACTTATTTACAAAACACAATTTTTATTTTGGTGGTACCACTTATGTGCACCCTTGTATAAATACATATAATTACCATACATGCAGTTTTTATAATATTAACAGAGACTACAAAGAATATTCACTTTCCATTATACATTCATACAAATTTACAAACAAAAAAAAAGTATTAAAAAAGGTAACCACTTATGTGCACCCTTGTATAAATACATATAATTACCATACATGCAGTTTTTATAATATTAACAGAGACTACAAAGAATATTCACTTTCCATTATACATTCATACAAATTTACAAAAAAAAAAAAAAGTATTAAAAAAGGTAACAGACATGTTATGCTTCAAGTACCCACCTACTACTGAGAAAATTAACAATGACGTAACATGACGTGTGACCAAGTATGGTGACCCATACTCGGAATTTGTGCTCTGCATTTAACCCATCCAAGTGCACACACACCCGGAGCAGTGGGCAGCCAATGCTGCGGCGCCCGGGGAGCAGTTGGGGGTTCGGTGCCTTGTTCAAGGGTCTCACCTCAGTCGTGGTATTGAAGGTAGAAGAGCGCGCTGGTTATTCACTCCCCCCCACCTACAATTCCTGCCGGACCTGAGACTCAAACCCGCAAACCTTCGGGTTACAACCAACGGTTACAAGTACTCTAACCATTAGGCCACGACTGCACCCCTTACCATGGGAATAAGGTTCAAAACATCACTACACATCTAAGAAACCAAAAAGACTAAACTTACCTTCTGTAACTTCTTGAAGGAGGATGCCTTCATATTTTCAGAAAGTTTGACTGAAAAACACTGAGGAATTTGATAAGAAATTGAAATGAAAATGAACTGAAATTAAATTTAGCTCATTAACTCTGCAAAATCTGACATATGAAATAATGGTAGAATATTAATGATAAAAAATTTAAAATTGTATTTGTATTATTATTAAACTAAATATTTAAAAACGTACAAAAAACATTTTCATACATTTTGAAATATTTATAACATGACAGTTATATGTATACAGTTTTGCGTTTATAAAGATTGTTAAAGATTTTACAACAAAAAGGTGTGCAAAACAGCCTGAAAGACATTTTAGAATTATATAGGTCTTTAACTTGCTAAAAATATTAACTATATAAAACATTAGTAGAAATATTAATACAAATATGATCTATATTCAAAGGGCATCTATCAAGTTGTGTACAACAGGTTTTTAGCAAAAAGTTTTGAGCTTGTTATTATTTTTGAGCCCTTTGAAATTCATGTCAAAAAAAGAAAACAGTAGGCTTTTACAAGGTTAATTATACAAGAACCCTTCATCTGACGTAAGTATGAAGTTTTGAAGCCTTTGTAACATCTGACAGCACTGTCAAGATCTCACGCAATAACATGTAAGGATACAAAATCACGAAGCTGCCCAAAGATCTCGTACACTTTTCCAATTTGCTCTTTGTTGTCCAGATATACAGGAGCGTTGAAGTAGGGCACTTTGTTGTCCTCCGTCACACATTTACAGACAATATTATCCTCACAGGGGTGCATGAACTCTCCCAAAGCTGAGACACGAGGAGTATGAATACCAATTATAACCTGACATACAGCAACCGCAAGCTAATGCAAACAGAAAGAGAAGCGTGAGGAGAACAAAGGTACCTTACCGACAACATACTCCGGTGGTCCGAAGTCTTGATTTCTGTGAAATCCACCTCTGCCACCTCGACCCCCTCCAAATCCGCCTCCACGACCACCACCTCTGTTAAAACCACCGCCACGACCCCCTCCTCGACCACCACCCCCGCGGAATGACATGACAGAGATCCTGTAAAACACATAAAAACGATCTCTGGCTAAATAGGATAACGCAAATGTTAAACGACAAGAAATCAAAACGAAGTCTGATCATCGTGACCCAAACAAACCCTGAAAGAAAAGACTGCATCTTCAGGTTTAACGCAAATAGTTTTAGGATTGTATTTAAAACACTACTTATCATAAAATCATAAGCATAAACATTCAGGAAAGAAATGACAGTCACGGTAGTGGAGTAAAGTTAACAGTTACTATCGAGGTTAGCCTTTTAGCATGTCTAATACTTCTGAGTGCAAAAAAAATACAGACAAATATTACCAGAAAGTATTCTACACACACGTTACCGTAAAACTGACAAGCGAAAAATACAATTTACACAAAATAATGTTATTTTTAGCAGCATCATATGACCCCTTTAAAGATGATTGTCTAGACTAGCTGTTGACTCTTCTTCGGGTTTTAACGGCAGCTTGCATCCTTAACGTTGCATTACTGCCATCTTCTGGTTCTAGTTATTTCCCATATACTTTAGTCATCATTCTTGTCATGAGTCCCGTTTTAGTCAGAAAGCAAATCAAATATTTCATTCCTTGTTCACTCCTACTCCACGTCCTGTTAGTCCTATTTTTTCCATGTCATGTATCATATCCATCCTCTGTAATTCATATTTTGAACCATTAATAAGCACATGTTCTACAGTCTCAGGTATTTGGCACTGGTCACAAAACCCAGTTGGATGTTTTCCCATAATATGAAGTGTGCTATTTAATTTATTATGCCCTATTCTTACTCTGGTCATAATAGTCTCTTCTCTCCTGTTTCCTCCCCTATTTTCCACAGTGACAACTTTTTTTAATCAAATATAAATGTCTTCCTTTTAGTTCTTGATCCCACCTTTGTTGCCATTCTTTAATAATTTTTCCCCACACTATACTCTTTCCTTCTGATCTTGAAAGACGCTGTTGACTCTGGAAACACATGTGCCTACACTGCCTGCCGTAAATGAACACCGACTCACAGACTGTCGTAAAAACGGAAGTGAATACCATGTTTGGGCGGAAGAGTCAGTCAAGTAAAAGCAGAAGATTGACAGTTTATGCAAGATACAGTATAATTTGTAGAGAGAATACATTTAAAATAAATAGAGAATGTACATTAAAACAAATCTTTTTAAGCTATTATACCTTTTAAAAATATTGTAGCGTTCTCGAGACAATAACGAGGCGTTTTGCAGTACAAGGGGTGTTCTTCCACAGCCACGCCGTACACACCCCGACGCACTGGAACCAGCGGGGAACTCTTCTGCCTCTCTTTCCCCAGTAGGCTACTCCCCTCACACACACACACCCAGTAAGCGGGGCTTGTCCCAACTCACACAGAACATTTAACAACAACAGAATAAAGTGCAAGATTAACATTAACACATTCTTTTAACAACAGTAACCTTTTTGAACACGCTACGATATATTTTCATCATTCAGCTTAGTGTATGTTGAATTAATAATTTTTAATGAAGTTGAGGATTTAGTACATTTTTGTTACACGTTCGTTTTAATTTCACATAATAATATGTTTCATTTTAGCTATTATTTTAGCATATCATTATTAAAGTTTTTTTTTATTGGTTATTAATAAATTTAATGTAGTAACTTAATTTAAGCTTATTCCAAATGTCATATCATTTTTTTAATAATTTTTGTTATTATTATTCACATAACGAATCTCATACCCTTGTTAGATCAGATAAAAGTCACAAACATATTTTTTGCTTGAAACATTATGAACAGCAGCTACGTACGCTAATTATTTTCCATTGCCTTTCTGTTCCTATGAATAGATGCCCATAGAAATGGATGCCCATCTCGAGGTATCTAGAGATTACGTCAGCTCCAGCGTGGATACAGCCTCATAGAAACACTTCAGATGACCCAACACCATTGAAGAGATGATGCTGACCCCTGCGAGGACCCCAGATGACGCCAACTTGAATCTGCCAAAATGTCTCTATATTAATCATTATGATCACACTTGTGATAATCGCTTTAATGAGCTTCTGCCTAAAATTAATTAATGTTAGCTAACTGTATGAATCTATTATCTTAAACTGTTCATTTGTGAAATGAACATTACTTGGACACATTCACTTTTGATAACAGATCACTCTAAATTGTAATGTAGACACATGCATTTTCTGTAAAGCTGCTTTGAAACTATGTGTATTGTGAAAAGCACTATACAAATAAATTTGAATTGTTTTTTTATTCCACATAATAATGATTAATTTATAGTAGGCCTACTTTTATAGAACTCAGTTTACAGAGCCTGTAAATAAATATGAAGACAACTAAGCTGACAAAAAAAAAAAAAAAATGAGGAAAGTAGCCTACTTTACAGAGATTTTGAAGAAGAAAGTGTAGAGTCTAAATGATCTGTCGCCCATGTAAGAAATATGAATGCATGCACTGCGGAAACAGCAGGGGTCAGTCTTGACACATGATGAGCTGAGCAGCGGCACATTACAATATCTCTGGAGGGGCTGTAATGATAGTGAGGGACCAGAACATTTGGATTCTGATCAGGGAACTGCTGGCTCTCCTGGGTCTGCACAGGAGAAGGCAATATCTGTAAATAGAAGTCAGTTTCCCCCGAATCTCTCTACCTCATTTTTTTTTTTTTTTAGTTTTTCTTGAATGCCTCGGGCAACTGTCAGCATCCAGCATGGGAACTTGAGTAGTGTACCGAAGAAGAGGGAGAGAGCGCTAGACAGCCAGAGAGAGAGCACCCTACATCAAAAGGAGTGCCATACTTTATGTGGAGCTTATTATAACCTTGTGTTGTATATCTTGTACCACAAATACCTTTACACTCTCCCTTAAACCTTTTAGAAAATAAATCCTGCCTTTATACCTGCACATCCTCAAAATTATAACCTTGTGCTGTATATCTTGTACCACAAATACCTTTACACTTTCCCTTAAACCTTTTAGAGAATAAATCCTGCCTTTACACCTGCACGTCCTCAAACTCAACAGTGACTGGAATTTTGACTTTATCTCTTCTTGGCTGACTGAGAGACACTACAGCATCTGAATTGCAATATTTTATGTTAGGCTAGCACACACATGCTCAGAAGCTATGCTGCTTTTCATAGAGGAGATGGAAGACATACACAACCAGTGTTTTGTATTTGCAAAAATGTGTCTAAATGGATGACACAGTTACAAAACAGAACTGTAAAACTATATTTTGTTCCTAATACACTTTGCATTCAACGTATACACCTGCACTTGACGAGACCTTCATACTGAGTACAAAATATGACAATTTTAAATATTGAATAATATTTAATTTTAGAAGAACCAATTTTATCCATCAAGGAAAAAAAGCATTCAAAAGGTGTCTTAAAAATGCTTGCCAATTTAAATTCCTCATTCTTACTCTTGCGAGGCTCACAAGTTCTTTACTTTGTAAAACTTGTTGTAAATTACCACAATGTGTGGCCTCTCTACAAATTCCTTTTGCACCTTTCAGGACATGAACAATGTGATTTAATTGCACAAATGTGGAATGGTTCGTATCCTGTCTTATCGATTTCATGGTTGGATAATCCGTGATTGTCACAGTGGCCAGTCAGATTACGGGGTAAAGAAGGCAATGTGGCCTTTTAGACTGTAATGGGGGATTCCTATTTAGTTTTTTTTTTTTTTTTTTTTTTTTGTACTTACATAGCTTTACAAATCCTTTTATCTCTCCTAAGTGTAAGTACATTTCCGCTCTGGCATAATTACACACGGAGGGAAGCCCATGGACCACTAAGCACCTCATTAGATCCAAAAAGTAGTTTATTCTGGATTTGTTTGGGATGCAAATACCAAAAGATGTCTCGCACACTTTTTGTACATTTTCATAATGGGCCTCATTTGGTAACTGAGAAAAAGAACATTTTTTGTGCCAAAAAAAAAAATAAAAAATCACATACAGATATAATATTTTATAACATTTTATATTTAATATTGTATATAAAATGTTATATGTATTTTCAATTACAATGGCATTTAGGCTATATAGTTAAAAGGTTTCTTTTTCAAATAAATGTTGTTCTTTTAAACTTTCTAGTCACCAAAAAAAAATACAATTCTGAATAAATAAATAAATAAATAATCATGATTTCTAAAAAATATTAAGCAACACTTAAATTGCTTTCAACACTGATCATATAATCGGCACCAAATCATTGCACGGTACACAGTGATTTCTGAAGGATCATGTTACACTGAAGACTGGAGCATGGCTGCTAAAAATTCAGGTTTGCCACCACAAGAATAAATTAGTTTATAAAATATGTTATAAAATGTTACTGTATTTTAGATCAAATAAATGCAGCCTTGATGAGCATATATTTATATATGGACATACAAACCTGTTGTGAAACTTTGCTCAAGATACTTTTACACAACTTGCTCACAATTATTAATGAAACCCAGTGTCATTGGCTTCTTTTTCCCCTCGCTTAGGCTGCTGTGCACAAATAAGCCTATACCATCATTACTTGTGGATATACAGGTGGAGACAGAAGAAGACAGAAGGAAAGAAAGAACATAACTGAATGAAATTACTTATGTGGGTGAGGGCTTGTATCCAATTTGTGTTCAGGATGACACTGAATGCAAAGCACAGATCCAAGCCAAACCAACACTGCATCATTATTCTGGCCATTGATTTTCCACTGGGCCTCCAAAGGGCCTTGTGCTCTTTGAAACGAAGTATAAACAAAGTACCGGCATGACATAACATCATTTTTTATTCTGCTTCAGGTGGCAGCAAGCCCAGTGGATTAGAGGTTTCACTCAAAGAAATGCAAGTGTGCATGTGTGTGTCCATTTCAAATGGCACACTGTTCTCTCAGCCCGTGTGAATGACACTCGTTCTCTGATCAGGTTGAGTCAGTGCATTCTGAGTGGGAGAGGAGAACTGAGCGTTCAGTGACATCTGAAGACAGGTCATCTTATGCTTAGAGCCAGGCTGTGATGCATTCTGAGTTGGCATTTCACCTCTCGAGATGAGAGACGATATGAGCTGGCATTATGTTTGGTTTCCTTTAATGCTTTGACAGGCTGCATGGGTCCGATTTAACCAAACTGAGTGAAGTGTTACGACCAAGGGTGGGAAGAACAGCAGTGATAAAGGTCATATCTGTTAAGATTCCAAAGTTATTTGTTGGTTTTGTATCGGTAGACGAGTTTACTGTAGTTTACAAGAAAAAAAAAAAGTCAGATTTTTGACTGTTTCTTCAAATTCAATGTTTATGTTCCACTCCATTGTCAAGAATTTCAATGAGTCTGTAACCCTATTCATGTTTTCTTAGGCGGCAGATGGACTCTTTGATTACATTAAGAGAATATCACCATAATGGTACAGCTACAAATGGGAAACAAAAAAGTCCATGCCACCAGGTCAGATAATTGTTAGCTACAAGCAGACGAATCTCTTTTTTTGTACTTTGATGTTAGTAAATCAAATACTTTAATGTATTGAAATTGCTTCCCTTTGATATCGGACCGTTTTACACATTCCATCCTGCTTTGCCTTCTCCATTCCATTCAGTACAGCAACGATGACCAAGATTATACCCTGAAAGCACCAATACATACAAATAGCAGTGTCATTAGAGCTGAGAGGTTTTCCATGCTCTCCCTGCCCCTACTGTTCATCCACACAATCCTTTCAACAAAATCAGAGAAGAAAATGTGTATTATTAGGTTTCCCATTCTCTTTAATAAGTGATAGACGAGTGCATATCCTTTCCAGGTCAGACTGGTCTGCAGGGCGTTATCAGGTGCCATCACTGGATAAATGGACCAAGAGACTTTTGAATTCTTACGTGGGTCAAAGTAGGGTAAAATATTTGTTAATGGATCCAGTTCAAAAGAACAATTTGTTAAAAATTACCTGTTATACTCCTCTGAAGAACACACTAATAGGGGCTTGGGTGCACTTGAGGATTTTCTTTTTCTTTTGTGAATAATTAATTATTGTTCTGTTTCTCTTTCTTTTTTAT